ATTGTTACATTTGAAGAAAGTCACCTTTAAAGTGTTAGTTCACCCAAAAATGAAAATTATGTCATTAATGACTCACCGTCATGTCGTTCCAAGCCCGTAATGCCTCCGTTCATCTTCGGAACACAGTTTAAGATATTTTAGATTTAGTCCGAGAGTTTTCTGTCCTTCCATTAAAAATGTATACACGGTATACTGTCCTTGTCCAGAAAGGAAATAAAGACATCATCAAAGTAGTCCATGTGACATCAGTGTGTTAGTTAGAATGCTTTGAAGCATCGAAAATTCATTTTGGTCTAAAAATAACAAAAACTACGACTTTATTCAGCATTGTATTCTCTTCCGGTTCTGTTAATCCGCGTTCACGAGTCCGCAGTGACGCTGATGACGTAAGACGCTGCTGACGTGTTATCTGGTGTGTCCGTGTATTCGGGTTCAAATAAATATGGCTGGGCAAAAAATATGGCTGGTCTTCCTCCGTGTCGAAATCCTTAGACATGTTTGTGAAGATTGTTTTGTTTACAGCGTGCGTCTCCCTCAGACTGTAAACGAAGCTCGGGCGCACCGTTTTACACGTCAGCACCGTCTTACGTCACCAGCGTCACTGAACGCGGATTGACAACAGAATCGGAAGAGAATACAATGATGAATAAAGTCATAGTTTTTGTTATTTTTGGACCAAAATGTATTTTCGATGCTTTAAAAAATTCTAACTAACCCACTGATGTCACATGGACTACTTTGATGATGTCTTTATTTCCTTTCTGGACAAGGACAATATACCGTACACATTTTCAATGGAGGGACAGAAAACTCTCGGACTAAATCTAAAATATCTTAAACTGTGTTCCGAAGATGAACGGAGGTCTTATGGGCTTGGAACGACATGAGGGTGAGTCATTAATGACATCATTTTCATTTTTGGGTGAACTAACTCTTTAAGACCAAATATATTCATAAATTCTCAGAATGAATGGTTAAAACTACAGTAAGGGTGTACATAATAATCTCCAGCTATCAGAGGGCTAGGAATGCTACATAAAACATAATCATGAAATCAATTATCATTTTCATTTTTAAATAGAAAAAAACCAAAATGTTCAAAAGTTTGGGGTCAGTCATAATTTCTTTGGAAAGAAATTAATACATTATTTGGCAAAGACACATTTTATTGGTCAAAAGTGACAGTAAGACTTTTACATTGTTACAGAAAATTCTATTTCAAATAAAAGCTGTTCTTTTGAACTTTCTATTCATAATCAGAACCCTGAAAAAATGTATCAGTTTGATTTATCTGGACCATAAAGATATATATGGTGACTATATATGGTGACACTGCTTGAGATTGGAATGGCTCACCTGTAGAAGAGAAGAGCGTTTGAATGCTTTACCACAGTCATCACACTTATAGGGCTTCTCTCCAGAATGAGACCTTAAATAACATACAAACCAACTTTATGAAGTAAAAATTGTGGTGAACGGAAGTAATAAAACAAAAAAAAGTAGTCAGCACAGAATCACATCTTACATCGGGGTTTGTGACCTGGCATGTCAACCCAAATCTAGAATCATTTGACCTCTCACCTCTGGTGGTATAGTAGGGCAGATGAGCCCTTGAAGGCCTTAGGGCAAAGGTTACAGCGATATGGCCTCTCGTTGTTATGGCTTCTCTGATGATGTGCCAGTCTGGATGACCACTTAAAACTCTTCCCACAGTCCAAACACTGGAATGGATGCTCTGGGTTTTGAGCCACCGTTGCAACGGGGGGTGATGGTGATGTCACCATGACACCTGTGAGCCCGACTGTTACTGACTCTTTGCCCTCTTCTTCTCCCCTCTCTCCATCCTCTTCTCCGTCCTCTGTGGAGGGGAGGAGGGAAGGAAAGGGAGAGAGGGAGGAGGATGTTTGAGAAGGTAAGAGTTCGGCTTGGACCACCAGAGTAGCAACAGAGTTGGCCATCAGAAAAAGTTGGGCTATAGTGAAGGGATCTCAGTTTTGCAGTTTTGCTCTAATTATGGCAGCCATGGCTTGTGTTTGATGGAGTTTTGGCCAGTTTTCTCAGATTTCAGCCAGGGAATCTTTTCTGAAGATGAAAGTCTTCTGTCGTCTTCTCCTTAGTTGATAGAGCTGTACACATTTAAATACATAAATAGATTTAAGATGTATTATATGTATGCAAAAAAAACACAAACAATAAAATGCAACTATACTTATAATCATGAGTGCAAAGGATAATAAAATAAATAGGCATATCAGATCCTCATATTAAAAATATGTTCCTCGTATGATTTGTTTAAGGTATTTTGGCTCTCGGTGGAAGCAAGTCAACATCAGCTTGAATAGCATTTCCTTATTCTCAAAAACTATGAATACAAGTGCAAGGTAAAAGTAAATATGACCCAGACTACACTTAAAATGAGGATAAACATGGTTTGTGCTATGCAGAATGTGTTTTGAACTTTGAATTATGGTCTGCCATGGTCAATTAAATTCAAGAGACATTTAGAAACACTCAAACTATTAAGACAACCCTATTGGTCATCAGAACACGTCGCAGCAAAACATTAAAACAGTTTGAGGTAATATTAATGTGTTAAAATTTAAATTTCTATATTTTGTTTTACTTTCACCCATTAATTTTATGACTGAAGCAAGAACAGATGAGAAACTCTGATATATTGTAAATAAAAATATATAATAGAATGTGAGAATACACAAAAAATCTGATTTAAATGCAATTTAAGCCTGGGAAAAAAGTTTTAAAATCGGTCATGATGCAAAATTAATAGGATACATTTAAAATTCCGCCCTATTTCTAGGACACTAATCAAGTAAATGTGTGACACTGATCATATGCTTTGTACAGAAGGTCAAATGTTCTTCCATTGAGTGCTATTTCATCTTTGGATCATTCTCAAATCATGCAACAAAACTGTGGAGTGTCGTTAAAGCAAAAACTAAGACTAACCAAATACAAATATATTCTAAAAATCTATGAAACTATGACATTTATGAAACTATTATTGCTAGTCATATAATTTGTAATGGAAAAAATAAATAAATTAGATTGCCCCAGAAATTAGAAAGCCTTTAGACAAGACTGCATGTTATTTTAACAAGAATTATTTTCCAGGAGTAATTGTTTCTGATCATCAATGTATCTCATCATCAGTAAACAGAGCATCAGAGAATTGACCCACCTTCTCCTTTAAAGTTCCTCCTCCTCCTGTTTCACTCCCCCTCCCTCACCCGCTATCTATCTGTGTGTTCCTGCCTTCTTGTCCCAGGGTAAATGGGGAAAAAACTAAACACAAAATGAAGATAAAAGGATTCAATTGGCCAAAGCGCACTCACCCCTTACTTTCTATAAAAATCAATAGTGGATCGTTTTATCGGCTGTTTGTTGAATTATTTGTGATATCTCGATCCGGCCTTATCGAATCCATTTCAGTCTTGTCTTCGTTCCTCAAGCGTCGCAATATTTATCGGAATAGGTGCATTATTCAATGCATGTCTTATTCCTCTGGTCCATTTCTATGAAATGGTCGTTTTTGATGAAATTATATAAGGCCGAAGTCCGCAGTGTTAGTCCACACAACCTTAACAATAATCTAGAGCACAAACTAACCAGCAGTCGCCCGTCTGTGACCGCCTCTCAGTAAAGTCTTCGCCTATTGGTTCGCTCTCGTCCCCTATTGGTTTGTCTCATTGGTCAAAAACATACTGCGACGAACTTTTAATTAAGATGTGCGTAAAGCGTCCACAGTTTTGTTTAAAATTAACAGGAAATAAACCCATTAGGTTATTCTACAAACCTCGCATCCTAAACAAGTCTCAATTCTTGATTATAAACAAAGGAATTTCATGTTATGCACTGATTTGGCTCTGCGCAAGGATTTGTGGGAAATGTAGTTCAGCCCATACGTCATCGCTTTCTCAGTATGTTCAATACACCGCTAAGCCTACAACAGTAAGAAAATGTGCATGCCTACTGAAAAGTAATGATTAGTTATTATGATTTAAAGGTATTCCTCTTTTTAATTTTAGCATTCATAATTATAGCCTTCCCTTTTAGACAATGGACAATAACAACAACATTTAAAAAATGTAGGCTACATGTAAATTCCTTTATTGTCTCTCTCACAAGGCACACAATTGAACACAGTCAGCCAGTTTTTGCATATTTAGTGCACATACATGTAGCAACTTTGAGTCTATGTAGACACAGAAACCGACCTAAACAGAGATGATTGGCGGTGAGTAGTAAAAAAGTACAACACATGACAGAAGTCTTGCTTCTGAATAGCAAAAAATAATTTAAAAATAATTAACATTTTTATATTAATAATAACATTATAATAATATCAATAAATAGTAAATACTGTATCAAAATCCTAAAAAATAGGGAAGGAAAGGGAAAAAATTATGTTAATATTGCAACACAGTGATAGAGCACTGGACTTATACGTACAAACAATATTATACGTAAACACACATTGTATATACCAGTTTACATTCGGGAACATGTATGTACAGCTTTACAGTACCAAAGTATCACAATACATAGTATTTTAAGGCTTAGGTTGTCTTTTTCTCATGTTGCTTGAAATAAGGTTTATCAAAACATGTTCCTGAATCACAAAACCAATAATATATATATATATTAAAAAACAACTATATAAACCCCAATATGCTGTGCAAAAAATAAAGACAACAACATAAAATAAAGACTAGCAAAGGTCAGTGCTAGTCCTCTCTCCTTCAGCACTGATGTACGTTACACTCCCAAAATATTGCTACATCTAGTGGCAGAGAATTGTAACCTAGGTAACAGTGAAGAGGAAATTAAATTGTATAAAAATACAATCAGTTTAATAAGAGACATAAAAAAAAGCTGTCGTGTGTGTGTGTGTGTGTGTGTGTGTGTGTGTGTGTGTGTGTGTGTGTGTGTGTGTGTGTGTGTGTGTGTTACAATTGAAGCTGAAAGATAAAATAAGAAAGAGTACACTTCTTGACTTGCAAATGAAAGAATGTTGACAATGTTGACAATGTTGACGTGTATCAAGAAATCAAATAAATAATATCATCAAATAAATAACTAGTCAATAAATAAATAAATACATAAATTACGAATAGTTCTGAAAAATTGAATTGTATAAAAAAGAAAAGGCAAAGGAAGGTTTACGGTTAAATGGAGCGTCAGAAGCAGGATGTCGACTGGAGTGCACTGTTATTTTCAGGTCGGACTCCTTCAATGATCAGGCTTCAGACTGCGACAGGGATGGACTGGGACTAAAAATAAATGGGCCTGGGACATACAAGGCCCATAACAACCCACCACAGATAATCGCCCACTACAACATCGCACAAAGCATTGGGGGATGTTTAAATCTTTCTCACATGATTCAACTTTTGTCCAATATGGTGTCAAATGATTTAATGTGCCCCTTTTTATGACTCAATTTACCCCTATCTTGGGACTGGGACTGGACCTCATTTTTTGAGAGGTCATACTTCTATGGCACTACATTTCAGCTGATAGAAAACATTCTGAAATAAAATTAGGCCAAATCAATTATTGTCTTCCTGGTTCCATATGCAATATTCATATTGTACATGACTGGAAATGCAGAATTGTGTTAGGCACAGATTCACTCTCATGCTTATACTTGGTTTGGTAGCGAACAGTAATGGAGGTTTGAATGAGACTGAACAAGGGTAGGTTGTAAATGGGTAGTAGAGAATAAGTTGAAATATTCAACTTCAGTCCTTTCATTATTTTCCCACAAGTCGACTCAGCCCACTGGGAAAAGTCCCGTTGCTCCCTATGGCCAGTCCATCCCTGGACTGTAATAATGATCGAGTCCTGGCCTTTTTTGCTGTATTGTAAAGAAACTGGTCACCGCTGAGGTTTTTTTTTTTTTTTTGCATGATAGCGTTGAGGTTCCTCATGCTGTTAATCTAGATTTAAGGGTAAGGAACACTCGTGAGGCCCAGTCACAGAAGAGCCGGAACTGCTGCAGGAGTTCCTGAGAGGACTGAACCACCTCCCAGTGAAAGACGGGATTAGGTGGAAGTGAGGGAGAAGGAACGGGGATCCGGGGAGCCTCTGCTCTGGTCATCTGAAATATATAATAAATAAAAAAGTCACAATCATGAATGCACTGATGATATTTCCATGTAACAATAAATTATATATATATATATATATATATATAGTTTTAATATATTCTATTATACACAACTGTTCAAAAGTTTGGGGTTGGTAAGATTTTGTTTTTGTTTTTGAGTCTCACCAAGGCTGCATTTATTTGATCAAAAATACAGTGAAAACAGCAATATTATGATTTTTTTTTTTTACAAATTAAAATGACAGTTTTCTGTTTTATTATATTTTAAAATATAAATGATTGCTGTGATGGCAAAGCTGAGTTTTCAGCATCATTACTCCAGTCTTCAGTGTCACATGATCCTTCAGAAATCCTTCTAATGTGCTGATTTGCTGCTCAAGAAACATTTCTAATTATTATCAATGTTGAAAACAGCTGTGCTGCTTAACATTTTTGTGGAAACCATGGAAAACATTTTTTTTTTTTTCAGGATTCTACGATCAATAGAATTTTCAAAAGAACAGCGTTTATTTGAAACAATGTAATGTAATTTTGTCCTTTTTGATTAATTTAATGCATCCTTGTTAAATAAAAGTTTACATTTCTTTTTCTTTTAAATCTTACTGACCGCAAACCTTTGATTGAGTATTATACTTTATATTTTTACTACATTTTGTAGGTTTTATAAACAAGAATTTAGTAATAAGCCAATCTTGTAACAGTTGTATCGTTTGCTGAGAGATGTGCGTCTGAGCACGTACCTGACGTTGTAAGGAGTTTATGAGGCTCTTAATGTGGGAGATCATGTCAGTCAACTTTGGTACTGAGCTGTGGTGCTGCCTGCGTGTTATTCTGTTCAGCCACTCAAAATGGTGCTCGAAGGACTTCAAGTCCGCATGGAGCTGAGAAAGAGTAGGCTTGAACTGCAAGAGAGAAAAAGAGAAAGAGCCAAAAAGAACATTAGTAAAAGAATTCAGAACAAACAACATGATAATGTCATAGCAAACTAACCAAAAAACTACATTGTACAAGCAGACAGATAAAGGGCCATCCAGGGCAGTGCAACTGGTGCGACCCATGCATTAGGGAGTCCCAGGGCCCGCAATTATGAATTGACCAATCGGGACCCCCTTGCTTGGGATGGCTCTGTACTGTTAAAGAGGTAAATAATGAAAATAAAGAGCAGCACGAAGCCCTATTTGTCCTCATACACACCTCCAGAGTGGTGAGGTCACTGACTCTGCTGCTGATTGCTGGAAGAGACTTGAACCTGTGGTGATCAATCTCTGCACCAAACACCGGGTCTTTCTGAAAACAAAGGAAAAAAGACAGAACGGGCATCAATAAAAAGTTAAAAACTGCATATTGCACACACATTCTGAATGGAAACGTCATGGCACTTTCCTCTAGTCACACCTAAGTTCTAGATCCGCAACTTTGAACTCAACAATCAAAACAAAAGAGTAACAGTTGAGCCAGAAATGAAACGACTGGCATCCACTAGCAGAACCACCGCAGAATTACAGGGAACGGCAGTCACCCAGAGTTCCCCGAGCTTTAACTTCTGAACCTAGACAATTCAAGTTCGTGACCTGAAGCCACAGGATGTTTTCTAGAGGAAGAATAACAACATAAGCAATGACTAAGGAGTTTAAAGTGGAATAGACAACACTGGGCTGCAGGGAAACTCCAGGGTCAGGACTAAAAAAGGTGCCATGACGTATGGGCCGGTCCATGCCTTGCTGCACTGTCATCACGTGGCACTAGAGGGAGACAGAAACAAACTCAGGTGTTTGTAAGATATCATAAGGGGCATCGAGTGACCCTAACTTGCTCTCGTCCGTGTTTAGACAATGCGTTACAATATCTGCGGTTCCTAATGTGGCCGCCACGTGAACGAAGCAGGGACTGTTTACAAGTCATCCGAAGGGTTGTTTGTGAGCGCTAATGAGTGCTGATAAAATGACAGGTGTAATGCTCCCTTTGTGTCTTTCAAGCCCCGTCAGAAGAGGAAAACAACATTGCAGACCAATCAGAGGTCAACGTGACGAAAATAATAGCGTGCTCAAGCCAGCTTTCTGTTTGGAATGATGTGTTTTTTCCTTGGTTTGTTGTTGTTTTTGTGCTCCCTCAGCTCTGCATCCCTCTTTTTTTCTCTATCTAGGCTCTTAGTATCAGCCAGATGATGACACATCCATCCTTTAGCTCACTGTCCATCTTAGTGGGACTATCATCACACACATGAGCACTTGTTGTGCGTCTCTCATCCAGAGTGCTCTCTGATCTCTTTATCTCCTCGGTCGCATGTCCCCTTCTCCGTTTGGATCATGACCTCACTCGACTGATTCTTGTGCCCTCCCTCCTCCCGTCTTCCTGAATGCAAATACGGGAATGTGATAAATCGGAGTGATTTTTATCAGGACACTTTGCTGTGGAGACCGAAAGCTAAACAAGCAGCCCCACACCTACACAGACCACAAGTATTTACAACATGCACACTCTCACCGGCACGCACACACGGTCATACAAACATCGCATGTATACACACTCTCACCACCTCACACAAGTAACAGTAACACATTCTGTACATACACGCACACACAGAGTTTTATAGCTTTCTTGTGGGGACTTTCCGTCGACTCCCATTCTATTTTTCTTTCCTAGCCTTGACCCCTGTAAAGTGGAACTCCATGCAAGAAGAAAAGAAACCAAAATAAATGCTTCATGTCATTGAAAAACTAACAAAATGTTTTTCAAAGTGTGTCGGGCCCTTTTGTCACCAGTGGGGTCTTTGATAGAGTTCTCTGCTGTAACATCTGGTGCACATATACAAGGCGGCAGACGCAAAACACCCTTATATACAAGACGCACACACACTCACAACCAACCATTATTGTGTCTAATTGAAGCAAAGAGCTGGAAGAGGTGGCATGGGATTTTGGATCCATAAGTGATGGATTCAGATCAGGTGGTTCTCTGTGCTGAAAGGAAAATCTGTCCTGTTCGAGATGAGTAATCATTTGAGTTTACAGATAATATCAATGAAAACTGGAACCAAAGACCATGCAGGGTCAAAAGAGCAGCAAAAATACCTTAAAGCGGTAGAAATGAAAATGAAAGATTTACTCTCTCATGTCGTTCCAAAACGGCATGACTTTCTTTCTTCAGTGTAACACACAGCAACAAGATATTTTAAAGAATGTTTAAAACATTCCAATTTTATTTTAGTTTCATTTTTATAGGCCTACCATCATAGTTTTATTAACATTTTGAATTAGATTTTATTTTGATAGTAATTTTGTTGTATTCATTTTATATATATATATATATATATATATATATATATATATATATATATATATATTTCTAAAACATTTATTTTTTATTTTCTCTCTTTTTTGTGTGTTCCACAGAATAAAGTCATACTGGCAAAATGAGGGTGAGTAAATGATGACAGAATTGTCTTTTCTTTTGTTGAACTATCCCTTTTAATACGAACCCCAATGATCTGGAATCGTATTCCAACAAATAATCAAGTCTCATCCTATGCCATTAAGCAGTACATCTGTTAACATTTTCATTTACAGTGGAACTACATAGAAGGCAGCACTGTACTTTTCACCTTTCTGTGCCACGTGCTTCACCCATGCTGGTAAACAGGACTTCCAAGTAACCATGGGAACAAGGATCTGTTTATGTTTCCGAGGTAGGAAAGTGAGGCCTCGGAGAGGTGAGGGGGGCAATGTGGGTTCAAGACCCTCAAAGTACAGATCTCCATCACATAGCAACCACAAAAACCCGACTAAAGCCCACAGCATTTCACTCTCAAATGGTCTGAGCGCTGGACACAAGCACAAGGCTCGTTATGAGCCATGCAGATCGTGTTTAACCCCCATCCCGTAGGTTAAACCCCATCTCATTAGGTTGAAAGTTTACGAATGTTACATTGCGATCTTTGATGGTGTCTGGGATGTCAGCCCTGCTGCTGGGCCTGAATCCAGGGATCTGTTTTTTTTTTTTTTTGTCAGATAGAGGCAACAGTAATGAGCCTTATCTGCTCCCACATGGACTCAAAGCTACCGCAATCTGCTATCTCAGCTCTAATATGAGCCAGCTGAATAAAAAGCCGATTGACGGGTGTGTGCGCATGTTTGTGTGTGCGAAAGCGCCAGAGATAAGCCAATTCCTGTCCACAAATCGTTTGCAAGGAGCATTATTGTAGCCCAGCTGTTCAGAGCCTCGAGATCAAGATCTGATCATCATCAGCATCTCTGAGTACAGTGTGAGCTTCCTCTCCTGGTGTCACAGCAGATCAACTCACCAGTAGGTCCTGAGTCAGCTTCAGAAGGTGTCTGGTCTGATTGGTCAGCTTGTCAAAGTCAGTTTGGATCCTCCGGGGGTGGGCAGGGAAGGCAGATGCTAACAGATGCAGTTGAGCCAACAGCAGCGAGAGGAGCAGCGATGAGGAGGAGTCACCCAGCACTGCGGAGGAGAGCAAATCATTGATGCACAGCAATAAACAACACTCCAATGTTCGTCCCAGGAGCCCGTGCCACTCTTATAATGGGACCGTGTTACCACACGTCCAAAAAGCATATCAATAGTCTCAACCCAGAGGACACTTCTTTCATCTTTTTGGGAGAATCGCACATGTTGCATCACACTAGAAGAAGAAGCGGTCCGCTGAAGCTGCTGTGCGCCCTGAGCGAGTAACACTTGATCCATTATTACTGTCGACATGATAAATACTTCTCTAATGAACTAACCGCGAGCGCCTCGAGCCATTATCCTGTCAAACTAACGTTACACATTAACACTAACATCCCGAACAGGTTTCCATTAAAAAGTCCCGCATTTATAAATCACATTAAAGGCTTGTCAGTTCAATAAATCAGTAGGCTATGCTTAGTTACATAGTTTTATCTTGGGCGGCATAAATTAGTTAAACAGAGGGGGTTTTAATAACAAAAGGCGATTAGTTGAGTTAAAGCAACAAGTGTCAATCGCAACAGTGGAAATAGCAATTTAGTGACGGTGATAAAAAAAGGGGGAAAAGTAACAGAGCGAATGTATAAACAATTTGACACTTACATTTCATATTTGTCCAGGTCCTTGTTTTAAAAAGCAGATATGTTGCAAATAAATACGCAGACAAATAAACAAACAAACGTATAAAATGAATAAATAAATGAAGCTCCAGATGTTGTCACGTGCTCCAAAGTTCGTCTCTCTCTCTCTCTCAGTATCCGCGCGAACGGCTCGCGACAGTAGTTTACAGAGGAAGAGCGTGAGGTGAGGAAGAAAATGAATGAATGACAGAAGTGTAGGATGAACAAGAACAAGAAAACAGCACCAAAACCTGACTGTGTCCAGTTCCAATAGTTGTTTAGTTTTAACAAACGCGAGTGAGGATGGAAAGAGACACGGCGAGGGTCAGAGAGGTGTATGGAGGGAGAGACAGAGAGAGAGAAGGATGCGAGGGTAAGTCTAATTTTTCGCGAAGTGAAATGTTTAGGCTTGTTTAAAACTTCCTTTATAAAGACGGGGGTATGACACATCCTGAGTCACCACTTCATTCATAAAAACACTCTCACACACACACATTCGCCTTCTCTTCAGAGCGCGCTTCCCGCCCCTCGGCACTGTCTGTCTCCTTTTGCGAATTTTTAAAAGAAAGAAAAAAAAAAAGTTTCTGTTTTTTTTTTTTTTTTTTTCCTTTGGCAATATAATATTCTCTAGGTCTGCCTATATCTCTACTGCTATCTCTCTTCCTCTGCACCATCCCGCTATGCGATCTATGGCAATCAAATCGTCTATCTCTTTATCTTTTCATCTGCAGATCTCTTCCCCTCTCTCCCTTTATCACTGCAAAAGTTTAAAAAGCCCATTGTTTCATTTTATATCAGTCAATCTGAGTTTGATAACTCTCCCGTTCTGTCTTTCTCTCAGCCCCGTTATATTAGGGATAAATAAATAGGCTGCATTATTTGCATGTAATGTAAAGGGGGACGCTGCATTGCGCATATTTACCATATACACACCTATTGAAACTTCGCTCCTGAGACAGCAGTCTGTTATTTCCACCCTTTTCGTTCACTGACGCTCCCTCTTATTTCTCTCCAGGGTAAAGGAAAGAGTGAGAGAAGGAATAAAAGAGAAAGGTGTTGCATAGTATGGCCTGTAAGTGTTGCATAGTAACAGTTAGGGAATTTGCAGAACATTAGCACTAACCCTTCAAGAGCGAAAAAGAGAGGCAGGCAGAGTTAGAGAGAGAGGGAGAGGGGGAAGGTTAATTTAGCATATACAGAAACCAGTGCATAGCACTGGAAACACAGAGTCACATGCAATAAAGCATAGCACAGTGTTGCAACAGAAGCAGAGAGGAGTTTCCAGACAGAGAGAAAGTATGGCTGAGGGGTTAATGCAACCTTACATACACATGCGGCATTAATAGCTGACCTTTCCATATTCACAAAAGTGAAGAAAAACTCACTCAGGGGTGTAGGAACGACTCCAAATGTGCGGGGGATGAGAGGGGGGACATGTTAAGGTATGGGAATGATTATCTGACAAAAAGTGGGGGAACACTGGATCTATGGCACAGTGCAGGCACTGGGGTTTAAATCCGGCCTGCATCCTAATCTCATTCAAAGTCCTCCATTTTCTTGGCACTTTTGATGGGTCATAGGTCAAATAAATGACAAATAAGAGTGCCCACAATAAAGAAAATTAAAATCTTTTTAAACACATTTCAAGCTATAGAATTAAAAATATACTCTTTATATTCATGAAAAATCGTATACCTTTTTTCATGAAGCTTACATTTAATGACAGTATGTTTAATGAAACGTCACCCCAGTTTTGATGGTTGCAGCATCCTCACTCACTTATGCATACATAAAGCCCTGTTCACACACAAGCATTCATTTTCCCACTTTCTCATACACTCTCACACGCACACGCACACAGGGTGTGTGGAGGTAATGTGGTTGCAGGGTCACATTTTGGTTTTGTTGGGTCAGCCGTAAAGAAAAAAGGGAGGAGAGAGGAAGAGATGGAAGGAAGGGAAATGGATGAGTGTGCAGGAGCGATGGAGGGATATATTGACACACTCGCTCTTTTAATTTCCCACATCAAAGGGCCGTTTGAAGACACAGCTGGGAAAAGAATAAAAGAAAGAGTGAAGTTAGTCACTCACCGACTCTCTCTGCCTGCATGCCCTGATGGGGGTCTCTTGGGTGGTTGTTGGTGAGTCTGTTTAAGTCCCTAATCCAAAGGGCGTGTGTGTCTGATTATGTGTGTGGGTGTGTTAGCGGGTTACCAATCAGTGGTGATTGCTTTGCTGTATGCGTGTGTGTGTGTGTGAGTGTGTGGTCCTGACGTTCAGCCCGTCACATCACCGATCACTGAACGCACCAGAGGAAAGACCGGTAGTCTGAGCTGTCCGGTCACAAACCTCACAGACATTACACCAACTCCCACACATTCGCACACACTCCTCGATCACGGGGGAAGTGAGACACAGGTGGGGAGCAATAAGAGTCCAGACATCCTGGTACCTCATTACTGTAATATCCCCTATTATGAGACACACACACACACACACACACACACACACACACACACACACACACACACACACACACACACACACACACACACACACACACACACACACATTCATTATGTCCATGTTCACACGCTGCCAGATCTCCCCTCCTGAAATACACATACACTGCAGCACGCAATAATACACACACTGTTTCATTGGCCATCAGGCTCACAACTCAGAAATGGTTTTTGTTGTCTTTTTTAATAGCTTCCTTTGATGTGTCAGCACCCTAGGCAAGAGGGCAGAAGCTTAATTGGAACAATTAAGGCACTAATGAATTTCAACAGGTGGGTAAAATGCTGAGTTTAAGAACTACTGTTGAAAAGCTGTTTCCCCCCCCCCCCCAGGAATGGGCAGTAGGCTTAGTGAGACTGATGGTTAAACTCAGTAAAACAGTTGAACTCAAGAATGAAACTTAAAAGTTCTAGAAAGAGTATATTCTTTTTCGTTTCATTTCACAGATAATGCAAATATTTTGTTTCAAAGGAACAGTGATTTATTATTGTTTATGACTTTCTTTTGTTTGTGGAACACAAAAGAAGTTTAGCAGAATGTCCTTGCACTTCACCATACAATGAAAGTGAAATGGGTGAAAAGTGTAGATGCTAGAATAGAGGAGACAAGTAACTTAGATTTCAGATATATAATGACACTAAAATAATGCAATAAACCTTAAAGGTGACATATTATGCCCCTTTTCACGAGATGTAATATAAATCTATGGTGTCCCCAGAATGTGTCTGTGAAATTCAGCTCAAAATACCCCCCCAGATCATTTATTATAGCTTGTTAAATTTTCCGCTCTATGGTTGTGAGCAAAAATGCTCAGTTTTTGTATGTGTCCCTTTAAATGCAAATGAGCTGCGTCGCCCCGCCTTTTAGTTTGTTTCTCTTTAGTTTTCTGTTCCCTTTGTTCTAGTTTCCCGCTAGTCATTAGTTGTAGGACACTCTTTCAATCATCACACCTGTTCATTATTTAGACGTCATCACTGTGTTTAAGTGCATCTTTGTTCTCAGTTTAGTTGTCCGGTTCTATCGTGCGTTTGTGGCTACATGCACACTGTTATTTTGCCTGCTCTTTATCTTTGGATTACCTTGGTTTGTTTTATTTAATTTAACACTTTTTGTTATTTATACTATTTTTGCATCTTTATCATCATCCTCTGGACTAAGTGTGACAGAATACTGGACCTACAAAGAAGTGAAGATGAAGATTGCCTCCATTAATGTAGCTCCCACAGGGAGCTTGCTCAAGGCCAACAGGGCTATGATTTTTATCTCCTAAGGGGAAGAGACCTGGAGGAGTATGTGGAGGAATTCGTCGGGGTCTGCCACCTCACCTATTGCATCAACATCACGCTCATGGAGGGGTTTTAGATCGGACTCGACAAGGAGATCCGGTTGGGGATGCCAGGAGGAAACTCCTGCTGGACGCTGTCCAACGGATCTTCTTTTGGTGTAGGCAAAGAGGATTGAAGATTCCGCGGCCAGCTTCCAGCCACACTCTACATTAGTCACCACCCCAGAGCCAGACCCAGCACACAGATCAAGCCTGAGGCAATGCCGGCTTAGGAGTCAGAGCCAGCAGCCACATCCGTCCCGAAGGAGAAGCAGTGTGTGACCAGGTGACGAGGTGTGTGAGACGGCCATGACATCTGTGACAGTGGGGGTTTTAGTGGATCTGGAGTCAAAGGAATGGCTAATAGACGGAGAGACTGACTGGGAGACGGAGGTAATGCTTACCACCCTATCCGCCCACAAACCTTCTCTGCCGCTGGTCCCTTCCTGCACTAATGTATGTTAGTATGTATCATTATGTTAGTATCTATCATTATTGCCACTGGTCTTGTCAACCCCTCGTTCGTTTTCGCCACCAGCACCGTCCATCACAGTGTGTTCTTCGTCACCACTATCATTGTCCAGCACCTGGTTGTCTACGTTACCACCAGGACTATCCATCACAGAGCCTGCTTCCACACCCAGTCTTCCTCTCCTGCACGCTCCACCGAAGCCAGCCATTCCCTCGGCTCCACCACCTCTGACTCCCTTTAGCCCCTCAGCTCCACCATCAGCCCTGCCATGTAGCCCTGATCCGCCTTGGGTCTTCCGGTCCAGAGCTCCGCCTCGTCCCTCAGAACCAGCAGTTTCACCTCGGCCCGTCGACCAATTGCCTGTCCCCTGGCTCCTGGGCTCCACATGGGACCATCGTCCCTTCGGTTCCATTGTGCTCCCTCATCCCACAGGCTCCACCTTGGTCAGTCGTCGCCCCACTATCACCACGGACTTCCTGGCTGTCTGCTGCACTCCATCCATCTACCCCTATGGTTCTGTCAGGCTTCTCCATTCCTCAGGCTACACCGGCGTCGCTTCAGTCCTCCGGCCCCCTGGCTCCACTTCAGCCACTCGTCGCCGGAACTCCGCCTTGGTCTCCCAGTCCTTCTGCGTCACTGGGTCTCTCGGCCCCACAGACTCCACCTGGGCTTCTACATCTCCAGGCATCATTGCTGTCATTTGGGCTAAAATTACTACCTTGTTTCCTCCATCCATCACTGCCACGGTGGGTCGACTTCCTCATGGCCGTCTCCTGGGTCACTCTGGGATCTCGTCGGCCGCCCGTTCTTCCCTGGATCCTTCCACCATCCTCTCCTCCATAGTTCCTCCCCTCATCTCCTTCATGGCTTCTTCTGCTGTCTGCTCTGCCCTGGTTCTTGCCATCTGCCCCCCTATGGGTTTCCAGCACCTCCCCGGTCCCTCGTTCTCCTCCTGAACCTCCACCCTTCTTCCCTCAAGCCATCCATCTGTCACGATCTGTCACGATCTGTGTATTAGTTTCATTTTCATGGACTTTTAGTCTGTTTCTAGTAAAAGTTTCCTCTGTTCTAGTTTCCTGCTAGTCCTTACTT